GTTTTATTACATTGTGTGCAGGGCTTTGTGGCCCTCTGGTAGTGTGTTGCTTCTTTCCCATAGTTTATTTGCTCCTAAAATGCATTCAKTGTGGCTTTGAATCACAGTCAGTCCTTTTTAAGAACAGCACAGCCAGTGGCCTGTTTGTTGGTGTCCTCAAACGCTGCTGCAACATGGCAGCAGTGACAGAAAGCTATAAAAGCCCTGTACGTGATGGCAGACTAATAACAGCTGATTTAAACTGTGGCAGACCAGGCGGCCTTTCCCGGTCATAATGGCTAAGACAAATGCATGTCTAGGAGCCAATAGACTGAGGTCAATAATCATTATTTATTGCCTTCATTACGTGAAAACAACAAATGTTAATGCAATCAATCCTTTTGCATGCAAGTCAAATGGAAGTGAGAAAAACAGCAAAAGGTTATAAAGTTCTCCCGCTTGCTTTGTTTCAGGATAAAAATCCCCAGGATCACAATCAAATTCAGGTATCGATTATAAGCTCTGTGTGATTTTACACACTTTGCTGCGAGATGGGGAGCAGGGAAGGACGARGGAAAGAGAGAGAGAGGCGGAGAGCAGCTGCAAAGAGGCAAAGAAAATGACTGTGTGGGATTCATTTCAATAGAACTAATAACAGCAGAGTTGGGCACATGTGCTCGGCTAGCCTGCATATGCACAAAACCCACACACTAATTCCAAGCCATTCCCAGGGTTGAGCACTTGCCTGCAGTGTTGCAAAGAGGCGTGACCAGGATGAGACTAGCCTTCTACAAGTGGCTTTGAATGCTAATAGGCTCACAAATGGGTCAGGGAGAAACTAAATAAGAACTAACTAGGGCCGGCTAATTCTGAAGTAACAAGTTAGCACCAATCAGGCTCTGGAGCCAGCGAGGCCAGGTGTCGGAGTGGTTACAGACAGGATAGCTGCTAATTAGCCTCCAGGAGTGTATCGGTTTCATGCAAGTGGGTCAGTGCGAAAGGACGGAAAATGGGTGGAGGGCGTTCAAACGACTTTCAGCACTGAGAACAAAGACACACAAAGCATAAGATCCATTTCTCTCTATCTGTAGGCTCCCAATAACCTTTTCAAATACCACAAGTATTTTTGCAGCATCTAATTTTGAGCAAGTGTTTCAGCAGAAAATCTTTGGAGTAAAAAAAATCTATAATAATAATTTGCTGTTATTTGAGTGGAATGCAAARGAAGTGCCTTAAAAGTAACAAAAGACATTTATTTTAAGAAATAAGTTATTTGCTTCCATTTTACTGGGTTGACGGTGGCCACATTATTTCTAATGCTCAATTTCCATTGTCATCATTGTGATAACAGCGCCATCTCCTGGTGAAAACTGATTTTTTTTCTGTAGGGTTTGAGAAATAAGCACACAGGATTGTAGTTCATAACCTGCTTAATCAAGCAGATAATGAGCAATAAGACTTGAGGCTATTTGTGTGTTTCTGTCAAAACTCATAAGAGAGAGCGAGGGAGAGACAGAGAGAGAAAGAGAGAGGGTCTCAGCATAAATATTTATCCCCGGCAAACAGATCAATGCCGATTAAAAAGGTCAAGGGCAGATGATGATGGATGCTGGCTGTATGTATTGATGAGTTCTGACCACGGTAATGAATTACAAATGTGCATGCACTTTTAGACGGCAGACCAAATGATTGGGATTAATTCATTGATCATGCTTAATCTGTCATAATTAATTCCATAGGAGCACGTGTGATGAGAGCAAGTCTCCATTAAACAGATAAATTATTCAACAGGAGGATGAGGTGGAGCCAAGACAAATGGGCTTGGGAGACTGGTGCTGCGGTCTCAGGCTCGGGRTAATTACAGTCTTTTCTTGGAAACCAGCACAGGTTACAGTTTCACTTGTTTAGAAACACAATGAGGGTTAATTAGTGACTGATGAAATAACTGTTCCTTTGCTGACTTTGGTCTCTATACTACAAATGTTTGAGCTGTTTGTTTGTAATGTTTTGTTAGAAAAACCTTCAGGTTTTTGATATAAAACAGATAATTGGAAAAGAAAGACTAGTTTTGACTTGAAACCTAAGATAGGTTTGAGATATTAGTTTTACTTCTATGAATTTTTGTATAAATCCACTGATCTGCCCTGCATGACGTATTTTTTTTCCCTGTGTAAATTTTGCTATAGCCTACTCTGTGTTGAATCAAAGGCTTTTTTGTGTTGATATTCATTGAGTTGTATTTTATTGATTTTCCAACATGATTTACAGCTGTAGTCAGGCACAGGTTGAAACAGGCAGATATTTTTGAGATTTTGAAATTTCATATTAAAAAAATAATTATCTACTGATAAGAGTAATTTGTGTCACAAATCAGGAAAGAAATCAAATCCCTTTACACTCCTAAATATTAGGAATAATTTATGTAAGCAGTTGTAGGAATTACAATAATTCAAACATTAGTTTTTGTTTTATGTTTTTGTAAATTTTACCATTTCAAACATAGTTTTTCTGGAACTGAAGCGGAAGAACAGCTTTAATTACCCAACTTGTCAAATCAGCTTTTTCTGAATACATATAGGTCCCAAAAGACCATAAAAAAGAGGAGAATTAGGTCTATGAAAAGAAAGATAAAAACCAGCAGGGGCTGCTGATAACTGGGTATATCCAATCCAGTAAAGCACTGCTATATGTACAAACCATTGGGATTTTCACAACCAACCCACACATCTGAGAAGAGGCAGAAAAGCTGCAAAAATATAACAAGAGCTATGCTTTTCTGTACTTCAGTTTTTCACAAGGCTTTTGAAGCAAATGTGTCTTTCAATTCAGTGATCAAACAAATTATACTGGAGTCTTGAAGAGTTTCTTGATCATCTTTCTTGTGTAATCATAACAGATTCAGTCCGGGTTTATTTTAGGAGCCGTCTTCTTTCAGCCGAGGCTGACGCATCACCTATTAAAAGAACGTTTCTCTGCAGAGTGGACAGGTGGACTTGTTGCTGGAAGTGAACCACTTGTACTGTAGAAGAAAGAAAGAAAATATTCAAAGTTTCCATTTAAATAGTTGTTTTTTCAAATTTTCTGTTAATGTCAAACAAGCTCATAAAYGTTTACCAAACAGGCTGAGTGGAACTTCTTCTTGCAGGTGCGACAAGCCTTTTTCGGCAGAGAATAGTTGGAGCCGTGAATAACKGAGAAGCAGATCATACAGTCCTCTATTCCTTCGAATCGCTTATCAACGTTGTTCTTCCACAGAGCCAAACCCTCCATTATACTGCCGTTCTGACCACAAACACATAAATAACATCAACGTAAACTKAAGGATTTGCATTTCCTGAGAAAACACAGTGTAAATGCTTAATGTTGAAAGYTTTTTGCTGAATAGCTAAAAAAGCCTAAAAAAGCTTTAAAAAGAGCTGAAATTAGTAAAGAAACAGAAGGAGCATGTTTGCTGGATTTAGCAGTAAGATGCTGATATTATCACAAAAAGGTAAACCTAGCTGGAAAAAAAGCTCAAATTAGTTTAAAAAAAGTAGCTAAAAACAGCTGAAATTAGCAGATGAAAGAAGCATGAAATGCTTAAAACAGCAGAAAGAAGCTACAAGGACAAAAATGTTTAAATTAGCAGAAGGGTAGCAGAAAAGTCAAAGCTAAAAAAAGCTGATATCAGCTAAATGAAGTACCYAACAATGTTTAGAAGAAAATTGATRTCAGTAACGTGAATGCTTCATAAGCATTCATACAATAAGATCATCACTCAGAAATGAAATGTGTTTCGAAACTGAACAGATTTATTGTAATCAGAGCTGCTGTTTATGTTTATACCTGATGTGTCAGGTAGGTGCTCAGCTGCAGCATCCAGTTCCTCCACTGCTGTACGGCTACGCCCACTCGCCGCCCACTCTCCACAGAGATGGAGCCCAGAGGGTAATTCTGGGGCAGCTGAATCACCAACTCAATGTAGATGTCATCCACAGAGTAGGTGGCAATCACCTCTCGTGCTGCTGAGCGAGCCTTCACCTGGAACCAGAATGTAAATTGAACAGATTTTAGTCAGATAACCAGGCAACTGCTCTACAGTGAAATGAGAGTTCATTCGTTTATTTAATAGCATCTACTGTTGCTGCATCATTAAACTCCAAATGTGAGGCAGCTGTTGCTTACATTAAAATGTGTTCTTACTTCTACTGTCTGTTTTTTTTTACCCCGCACAGACTGGATTAAAAACAATTCAACAAGTTTTCAACAACTTCAAAATATCCAGTTTAAAGCACAAGATAAACACTCACCGGCCACTTTATTAAGCAGGTTGTTCAATCGCTTGTTCACCCAACAAATTATTCAACCAATCACATGACAGCAACAACACACTGCCTTTGCTGATTTTTCTACACACAACCATCTCTAGGGCTTAAAGAGGTCCAAAAAAAAAGAGGAAATGTCTAGTGAGTGTCATTTGTGTGGACAAAATAGCTTTGCTGGTGTCAGTGGTCTGAGGAGAATGGGCAGACTGGTTCAAGATGGCAGAAAGCACCAGCAGCTTAAATAATCACTCATTACAAATAAAGTCTGCAGACTGCCAGCTCTGAACACAACATGTCCAACCTTGAAGCAGATGGGCTACAGCAGCACACCGGGTGACACTCCTGTCAGCTAAACACAGGAAACTGGAGCTACACTTCARACAGACTCACCAAAATTGAACGATAAAAGAGTGGAAAACAAACAAACAATAAATAAATAAAATACACTGACTGATGAGTCTCGATGCCCTGAACTCCAGTGATTTTCAGTCACCAGATCACAAATTAGCACCTTTGGAATGTGGTGGGAAGAGATTGACATCATGGATGTGCAGCTGACAAATCTGCAGCAATAGCACGATGCTATTATGTCAATATGAATCAAAATCTCAGAGGAATGTTTCTAACAACTTGCTGATGACTTGAATAACCAGAGAATTAGCAGTACCTGCAAAAAAATGCAGTGTAAATGCTTAACATTGGAAGATTTTTGCTGAATCAACTTTAAAAAGGTAGCTGTGAAATTAGCACAAAGAAACAGAAAAAGCAAAACTTGGTAGGACCCTGTCCTAGCAGTGTGTACTTAATGAAGTGGTCGGTGTGTGTTTAGAGAATAAAAGAAAAGAAAAAACGGTCATGACAGACTGTGCAGGAAAACTGAACATTTGGACTTCAACACAAAACAATAAAAAATAGTCTCACACAATGTGTTTCCATCAAACAACTCTAAAAGCACAGCTTGGCAGACAGCTCAATATGCTGTTTTCCATTACTGCGTGATGGATTTGCCTGCTTTCATTAATTTTGACATTTAAATGCCTGAACTRTGGAAAATTACCATTTCACAGTGGGAACTAATTTGAGTTTAAACACAAATGAGTGAAGGCTGTGTGGTATCTGCTAACTTACAGTCATGCTGTCAAACATCTGAGTGCTGCTGTGGACGGAGGAYATCTCCTGGGCTGAGAGGACAGGACTGACGTATTTACTGGTGAACTTCTCCACAGCGGAGCTCACTCTCTTCTCCTGGCTGTTCCACCACAYCCGCACCATGGCAGGTAGGTCCTGCACAGTGCTGTAGTATACGCTGCACGCCAGGTGAGGGAGCTCCCATTTAACACTGTTATTCTCTGCGTTAAAAAGAAAAACAGCAGGGGAAAAAAATGTCAGCTTACATAAATTTTAAAATGACAGAAATCGTATGTTTGTGCTTTTTACTTACCCTCGACTGTCAGGATCAGGGTTTCTGTAAAGAAAGTTTTGGTCTCTTTTGTCTCCGACTCCTGTCCCGGGTAAACCGGGTTCTCGGGCATCAGTTTAAAGAGATGGAGGAGCAGCTTGTTCAGAGAGCCGCTTCTCTTAAGATACTGAGCGTAATGGGCACGCAGCTAGATATAAAAAAGAAGAGCAATCAGCACTGTCACAGTGCCTCAAAATCAACATTTCTATTCTTTAGGGTAGGCTGGTATTGATCATGTTCATACTGCAGCATATGTGTTGAGTATTTAACAGAGAAACTGAGCATTTACATGAATATATCTTGACATTCTAGAGCCAGAAAGGCATGGAGAAAAAAAATCTGCTGCTATGAGGTGTCGATGTCAGAGCAGCAGGAGAGAAGTCACAGAATAGCTCTTGCTCTGTTGAACAGATCAAAATACATTGACGTTTGTCTTTTATGGGTTTTAGATTACAAAATAATGTGACTCTTACTGTGGTTGGATCTGCACKGCTGCATACTTTTAGCCAGTCTTTGTGCTGATAAAATTTATAGTAATTTCCTCATCTGCAGTAAGCAGCTCGCGTTCTCGAAAACAATACTAATAAATCTGAATAAGTTTAAATCCGAAAAGAATCCAGCTGTCAGTCAGCATTACAAAGGCCCACKTTTTTAGGTTCTGCAAGTAAAGTCTCTGTTATTTTCTTTTTCTTTATCTTGCTTGAAAGTTAAGAGGCACAACAGTTTTTCTGAATGAGCTTAGAATGTCCCAGTTTTCACAGCAGCCTTGTGGAAATTTTCAGGGAATTTGGCATCACCTCACGTGATTAATACTGTCATAATTTTTCTATATAAACATGTTTAATACCACAGTACACCAAAATACTGTCATTTCACCCAAGCCTARTGTTTTTACAAGAAACCCACACACAGATAAACTAAAATCAAATAACTGTCAAGTGTTTAAGAACATGTGACCTTCACTTACATGAGAAGGGGATGATTTGAAAAATGTGAGGAGCAGCTTCCATGCCAGCAGGTATCCCAGAATGCACGAGTACTCCACACTGAGTGGCTGGACCACTGCAAACTCTCCCACTTGGACTCCAGCCAGGATATTTTCACACAGCTCCTCGCAGGTCGACAGGATGGCCATGAGCGAAGCTGGAGGAGAACTGACATAAAACATTAACAAAAGCATTACATTTGCAAAGTCATCAAAATGACAAGATTCCCACCCTCAGCTGACTTACAGACACGGCTCATCTTTGTCATCATCAGACTTGTTGTCTCCGTCTCCATCACACTCAGGCAGTTGAGGCATCGTCCTGCAAAGGCAACAATGATGTGTGTTTTATTTATCAGTAATATTCAGTGATTTTAGTGAAGTGGACAACTTTTCTCACATAAAATTCTTACTTTTCCAACATGTGGTGCATAGTTATCTGCAGAGGCCTGGCCTTGAACAGCAGCAGAGGGCACAGCGTGTTGAGAAGCGTCTGCAGAGGCTCTGGCAGGTTTGTCTTTTGGTCTGCTATGAACCGTGGCGGCAAAGAGTTTTGGGTCAGTTGCTGCACCGGTACATATGTCAGAGCCAAACCGACTGACTGCAGCACAGACAGGGGGAACACGGGGTCYTCTGGTTCAAGGAAGGCCTCTGAATTTAGACAACAAACAGAAGAACTGATGTATAAAATCAGGACAGTGAGTACAGCATCAAAATTACATTTACATCAAATTTACTTTTCATTTACATGTAAAAGATCACATGATACATAAACCGTACCTCGTTCTACAATTTTTGTGCCATTTCAAATATTTATACATCAAAACATTCAGCTTTTTCAGGACAGTCTGGCTATGAATTTTGGTACTTCAGCAATTTATACTTTTTGAGATATTTAGCTTTTTCTGACTTTTTTTTCCACATTGAAAATCAATTTAGGTGTTTTCAACATCCTTAAAATCCTTGAAAATGTTCATAAATCTTTACTMTACTATTTACCTTTTGTTCTGGTTGGCTTTTTCCCCAACTCTTTTGTACTAATTTCAGCTTCTTTTGGCTTATATTTAGTTAATTTTAGCCATTATCCTGACATTTTCTGTTTTTCTTCTGCTAAATTCAACTTTTTTGTGCTTTTTTCAGCTTCTTTCTGCTATTTTGACTTTTTTATCTTTTTTTCAGCTAATTTAAGCTTTTTGTGCTTTTTTCAGCTTCTTTCTGCTATTTTTATTTTTTTGTATTTTTAATAATTTTTAATCATATTTTTAATGTCTTGCTTAATTCAGCAAGTGTGCTCTTTTTCTTTATGCTAATTTCAAGTACTTCAGCTGCATTTTTAATAACTTATTTGTAGTCTAGTTTCAGCCTTTTTTAAGCTATTCAGGAAAAAACTTCATATTTTAAGCATTTATACTGCATTTTCAAAGGAAATGCTAATTCTCAAGTCTTTAAGTTTAGTTTTAAGTAAAATATTCTTGCAAAATGAACTCAACACATACCAGTAATTTTTACAGGCAGAGGTAACAGCAGGTTGTAGATGCCCTCTACAAAGAAATCTCTCCATTCACTGGCCAGTTCCGATGGCAACTTCTCCAGCACATCAGACGACGACGACGTGAAGAATTGGTTCAGTTTTACGATCAGTGTCGAGTTCTCACACACAAACAGCTGCACCCAGGGGTTCCACAAACTGCTCACACTCTCACTGGCAGTCTGAGTTTACAAATAAATCAAAACAAGTAAAGTGAAGACATGTTTCAAAGAAACACGTGGCGAAATACATATACTTTGTGCAAAAAGTAAGGAAATTTGTCTGGCCGAGTTCTGGTCCACACAAAGCACTGACACTCAGCTCAGATACCACGAAGAATGACAACTCTTTGGTGGTCCAAGCATGGTCCAGCATCACATAAACCAAACCATAACTGGACCAGTTGTGACATGCTATCTTAAAAACAGTGCCATCATAACCCYASCTGGCTCACATCCAGTTGACAAACCACTTATCATGCCGGTATGAGACCAGATCTGGCCCACACCTGTCTGCTGTGTGGGGTAGCATTTATATGAGATATTGCATGTCRCACCTCCAGCCAGGCCAACATGGAGCAGAGCAAGAAGTCCCACTGGTTTCCTCCAAGAACTGATGGACAATSAGTCACCAGCCAAGACGAGAATCGCATCATTTCCACATTAAGGTTCAGCTGTTCAGATGTAGCTCCAGCTAGATCACTAAAACACAGAAATTTGGCTAAATGAGTTACAGGCAGGGAAAAATAATGTTACACAGTGCAGKTCACTCTTTTTTTCAGTCAAAGGAAACTTAATTCTTCAAGGCATAGAGTTTAGAAAATGTTTAATATTTCTGAATTTTTCCTTTTCCAAAATAGCTCAAATCCTTGCTTGCTTTTTTTTTTTCTAAAGGCCCTGTCATACTAGACAACTTATGCCAAATTATGAACATTTTAAAGACATGCACGTTGAAGATAGAATTTAAAAAAATCTACAGGGAGCTTCTTTTCAGTGTGTACATCATGTAATTCTAACAAACTGATCAAATATATAACTTTTATTAGCAATTTAGACGTAAAAATGTTTCATAAGTTGGCATAAGTTGTCTAGTGTGACAGAGCCTTAAATAGCCTGTGACATTCCTATCCTTCAAATACAAAAAGTCAAAGAAAGCATCTTTATACTTAAGAAAATTGTCAATCCAGAGATTATTTTACCCATTTTGTCACATTACTGGCCTATTTTCTTCTGAATTTGGCTCAAAGTGAAACAGGAAGTGACATCAAAGGGGAACTTATTAATATTAAAACAAAATTATTTAATCTTTAACTCTTCTTAATCTCTCTTTGATAGAAACTAAAAATAATCTAAAGAAACATCAGATTCTTTTCTACAGTCTGTGTTGTAACAACGCTCTGTTTACATGCAGACATTCCCCTTTGACATCACTTCCTGTTTCTTCACATATAAATATCTCAACAACCGTTCATCTCAGCGATGTGAAACTTGTTTTGCAACATGTTATCAATGTTATCTTCCCAAAAATGCATTCATGTTTATTACAAAAAATTGATGTCAGAGGCACTTTAATGCTTAATTTCACAAGCTAAGAATATGCTTGTAAAATTAAGCTTATCAACATTTATGCTGCAAAAAAACAACAGTTTTCTAGTGTTTTTACTTTACCAGCTAAAGAGAAACCAATCCTCCCTGCTGTTCCTCCATTCCATCACAGTTGCCAGGATAGCCTGCACAACCTCATTCTCCACTTCTGTGTTGGCATTTAAACAGCACAGTAGCACTGCCAGACACCCATATACATCTGGAAAACACAATACAGGATTATTGCTTGCTTAACTCTTTCCCAAATGTATATATGGATTTGTGAATTACATGTGTTTAGTAGAATGTTACCTTCATTCTCTTGCCAGTTGATTAAACCAGCAGTAGCCAAGTCGACGAGCATTTCCCTGTCTTCCTTTGTCATTACTGGGCAGAGCACCTGGACCGTGCTCAGCTTGCTTTGAGTCACTGGGAACAAACTAATCAAACATTTATTTTGTTATATAAAACATATAAACGATTTGCCACTTAACACCTCTGAATGTTCAATCTCAAGAATTTAAATCATATTCTCTAATAAATCAGTGACCTGTCAGAACTGCCATAAAGTCTCCTCAGAGCTGCACTGTGAGTGATTGCCAAGCTGTTTGTGTTGATGTAGTTTTCCAGAGTCAGAGACCACAGACCTCCATCCATTACAGACCTYAAAGAAGAAGAGAAGAACATCTGACACATAAATAAAAGCCTGAGGCATCTTTGGAAATATTTATTTAGAAAATAGCCAATATATTTATCATTTTATGCCTTTTGATACATCATTTTGTAATCCCACTTGAAAAACGCAAATGAATAAAAAGCTATTTAGGCAGAATTTTTACATGAGCTGCTTTCATGATGGTTTCCCTACACCAACTCCATCTATTGATAAATTCATTTGTTCTTTAGTCAGGGATTAATGAGTGAATCTTACCTCGAGTACAGGGTCTCCAGGAGGGATTTCATTGGAACCTGACTATGGTGTCCATCAGACAGGCCCCATTCAACCAACAGGTTGTAATATGCAGACACCACTGTGGGGCTGTACTTAAACTCCTTACACCACTGCAGAGCATATAGCAGCTCTGAAACTGGCAAATAAAAACATGCATTCAATATCACATACTGAGAGCAAAACAAAAACACACTTTTAAAAATAACTTWAAAATGAAGTGGAAAAGGTTCAAAAATCATTGGTTTATGAACCTGTGTTTGTAAGGTTTGGTAGAGGTGAAGGACACTGTGTCTCCTTTTGATCCTGTGAAGCAGTCTGGACCACCATTCCCAACAAGGCACAAACACAAAGGTGGGCTGGCAGCCTGGTTGACTCTCTAAACTTCCAAGCATCCTGAGTGGGATTTTCATAAACTCCCCTGTGACGGTTAGCCAGTAAAGGAGCTTTGATCCACTTAAAAAAATAAATAAATGCATGAATGTGAATCTTTTCTGTACAACCACAGCTTAGGTTTAGTTAGTCCAGAATCAAGTGTTGGCTTGCTGACCTGAGAAGGCAGGGCCTGTCTGATTTGTGTCCATTCCGTCTGGCTGGGTGTCAAAAGATTAAAGAAGTGGTTCAGGATGGGGGAGGCCTGATCTCCTGCAGAGGCGATTGTTTCCACTAAGCTTTGCACAGCCGTAACTAAAACCTGCAAACTAAAAAAAAAAAACGTTATAACACTAAGAAAACATATTTAGAGCTACTGCAACATGAATTTTCCTTGATTCAAACAAAGTAGTTACCTTTTAATATCCAGATAAACTGTCAGTACTTGCTTCGCCACCCAAACTGCTGCACTGTGCAGGAAACCCCCCTCTGTCACCTCGCATTCGCAATGTTGCATCAGAGATTGGACCCCAGCAACACACACCTTCTTCAGCTTATCCAACAGTGATTCTTTCAAATAAAATAAAAAAAACACAAATTAGCTATTCATGTCACATTTGAATTGTTTACYTCTGCACTGTGTGAGCACCTACTAGATAGGTGAGTTTGTCTTTGATCTTGGGCAGTGAGCTGGAAAACGGTGAGCAGCAGCTCCTCAGCTGAGAGCAGCAGAAGACAGTCTTGCACAGAGGAGAAGAACGAWGAAGCGACGTCGCATATGAAGGAGATGAGGGGCTCCATGTTGCCCGCGTCGGACAAGCTCTTGGTCTCGGACAGAGTGGTGTGAAGCTTCTCTAATATCTTCTCCATGTATACCTCCCCGATCAAAGACTCTGCACATGTAAAACAAATCAATCATAGCCTCACATGTAACGCGATTAGAGTCCAGCAAAAAGGAGCTTTCAGCTAATTTATTTGCTGCTGAATGCGTTTGTTTACCGTTGTTGTGGTTCTGAGAGAGGACGAGGCTGATAAGTGTCCAGCTGTGGCTGCTTGTAGAGGARGTGGAAGCGTGAGAACTGCTCCCCACCTTGCAGAGCTCCTCTGTCAGTCCCAAGAGCTGCTCCCCCAGAACTGCGCCTTTCAGCCAATCAGTGCAGCTCGCACGAGTCTCGGCATCTTTACACGCCTAACAAAATACATAGCAGAAAATTAAGGACATTTTGAAAAGTGTAAACGTTTAAGTAGACAAATGAATTACTTTTTTTACCCTCTGGATAATTTGCAGGATAATTCCCCATGGCAAACCCATCTAGAGAGAAGAGCAACAAACACGTCAGCAAAGAAAACGCTCCAATTCTGTAACTAGATCCGACAACAAATGAGGGATYACTTTACCGTGGTGATGTGGTTGAGGATTTGCGTGGTCTCCTCCTGGTTGCAGCAGGACAGTGAACTAAAAACCATCTCCACCAGGTGCTCGGTGTTGCTGCGTGCCACCTCAGCCAGCCACACAACCACTCGCTTCAGCAGGAACTGCACTGCTGGATTCCTCTCATCCCTCCATTTATCACCGTCTGGTATTTTCTCCTCAAACTCAATTAAAGCCTAAGACAATTGTATATTAGAAAAGTAAAAAYTACTACAGATGAAAAGAAAATCATTTTTTGTGTTTTTAGCTTTAAAATAAATAAAGAAAACCTACAACTTCTTGTGTTTTTTTTTTTTGCTAAAATTATATCCTGTAGCGTGTTCCACCAATCTTTGAAATAACATAGCTTTTTAGAAATCCAAAAGAAAGTTAGCAAAGTTAAAAAGAGAAAAATAGTGTATTTATGACTTACACTGAAGACCCTGTGTGTGTGGAAGGACTGCAGGAGAAGTGAGAGGAAAACAAGATGTTTCTCTGAGTTTTTCTCATTCACATGCACCAGGCACAGCTGTGCCAGCTGGCACACAGCCTCTTCAAAATGTTGAGTCTGTAGGGACCCGAAAGCTTTTTCATTCACAAGCTCTGACGCCGTCTGCGCAAACTTTTCGGCACCATCCCCCTGAACGCCGGTTTTTTCCTCCTCTTCTTGCTTAGACAAACAAACCCTGACAGATTTCTTCTTCTGGAGGTGTTTTTTGCTTACCCTCTCAGGATAACGCATCACCTGGACAGACATAAGAGAAATTCTCATTTCCATTCAAAACATTTAAGGGAATAAATTACTCTGACAGCCATATTGATTAGCTATTTATTTATGGTCAAAACTAATATTTCAGTGAGGGATAGGATGTCTGAGAAARGGAGGCTGTTATACTAAACTCACCTGCAGCAAAATGGCTACACCCTCCAAAGCCTGTGGATCTGCTTCCTCGTTGTCAACGAAACGCACACACAAATGACAAACGCCCTCCCAGAAGTCGGCCACGAGTTTTTGAAAGACTTCCTTCTTGGAATCTTCCTCGCCGTCACTCTGTAAACCTGCCCTTTTCTCCCAGGAAATGAGCATTTCGGTGACCAAAAGGAAAAGAGGCCCATTCTGAAGGGACTGGTTTCTGARAGCCTTTTCTAATAAAGGCAGAAGCTGCAAAAAATTAAAACAAAACAACATGTAAACCATTTGAATTTTTGTAAATTTGAAATAAAAAATGCAGATTACACGGGACTTTGTGATCCCACCTGCTGTGACACGAGCATGACCCTGATTTTTTCCTGTGAATGTTCTTCTTCTGTATTTTGAAGTATGCAGAACCTCAAGCACTCGACAAGAGAGGTCACTATCACTGCACTTTCTGATGGACTTGTCGCAGCACGCTCACTGGACAAACTGACAAACACACAAGACAAGAATTAGTCCACTAAGACTGTTTAACAAGATATAACATATATCAAATGTTTATTCAAAAATTCACAAATTGGATTTAACTTTAGTTTCCTTTTAAAAGAGTTGAAATGTTTTTTTCTGATTCAGCTTTACGCAAGTTTCTCAACCTCAAACGGTGCAGTGAATGTGTTCTTTTCTTAAAACATTCATGTTGTGGGATACAAAATGGTACAGGAGATGTCACTCTTATTCACAAATTAAAATTAACTCCTGAATACACTAGAAGAAAACAGCAAATCACTGTCTTAAAGTGAGAAAAATTTATTTAAAAACTATAGTAGGAGAATTGCTTTGATATATGGTATAATCTGATGAAATGTAAGAATTGCAATGGCATAAATTGTGTTAAAAGCAAGAGCTTTGCACACTCAAAGCACAAAGTATTCAAGATAAGAGGCTCAAAACACTAGGGTTTTTAAAACCTCAGACGGTCAGACGTAGRAAAAACAAAGACATACAGTTTGTAAGAGAACAGAAAAATCATACCTAGAAGCTGATTCAAAAGACTTTAGGTAGAAATTTTGATAAAAAATTTTCAGTTATATTACAGCTGATTTTCCTATTTTTACTTGAACGACTCTGTACTGATTCAGACATCAAAACTAATTAAACATTTAGATTAATTTCAAATGATATGTATGTGGGYTCTAAGCATTAACAAAAGTGACTGAAGCGCACCTGAAAACATTGACGCACTGCCGGAGTCGGACAATGCATTTATAGAAGTGTCTACTTTTAGCACCAAGATATCATTTGGGGTTGCTTCAATTGATCAGGCTGAGGCCTAGGTGCCAGGTACCGTGGGACAGCTTTTTGCTTTTTTTTACAAATATAACCATCAGCGAGTTTAGATCTCAACCTTGTTAAAAATGTTTGGGAGGAGTCAAGGAAGACTTTACAAAATGTTTGACTCTTCTGAAGTCACAATAAGATTTTATTTGTGTAATTATTATAACAAAGTCATGGTCAAGTCAGGTTTTTTTCAATTTCAAATTTGAAATTGTATTTATTCATTTCATTAAAAAAACGAAACAAAACACATTGCATACAACAAAACAATACAAATCCAATAAAATTTTGGTCTGTCTGAAGATCATTGTTTCTGTTATTTAAGATGAAAATTTTCATTCTGTATTTAAATATTCTACATTAAAATATAAATGTATTGTATAAAATTGTGTTGATCATCTAATTACTTATAACATCACACTAACATATTCACCCACCGACTTCCACATCACAAGCAAAAGGTACACGTGAAAACAACTTACCCCTGCATGAATGCAGTGAAGAAAGTGGTGTAGAAATCCAGGCTCGGATCAGTGACTTCCTGGGGCAGTTTGCTAAGAAGCGGCATTAGATTTGGGTGGAGCGCTTTAGCCATGCCTTTACCTCCCTCTTTTAATAACACCCAAAGTTTAGGAAGGAAGCCTTTTTTGGCATTTACGTGTGTCCAGCAATCCTAAAACATTAATAGAAAAATACAAACAGTTTATAAATTATCACAAAAATGAGACGCAACTTAAATGAAAATTATTTTTTATTATTAATATTTTGCTGTAAGTATTAACTTTACTGTAATACCAAATCATCAACATTAAAGGCAGTGTGTAGGATTTATTGTTTTCAGCGACATCTAGTGGTTGAGTGGTTGAATCATCCTCCCTGGTCCTCCCCCCACCCCCACCCCCCGCTTCCAAACACAAAGGAGTTGC